CGCGCGCGCGCGCGCGCGCGCGCGCGTGTGTGTGTGTGTGTGTGTGTGTGTGTGTGTGTGTGTAGGGGGGTGCACGCACCAGCCATGCCATGTGTGGGTACCTGACAGAGGGTGACAACCGTGTGTAAGGGGTTTGTGCCACATTTGTGTCACCCAAGTACGAAGTGTTTATTGGCCATGCAGGGGGGTGGGAGCATGAGATGGGTAAGCTGCTGTGGAAGAGGATGCTGGTTGTGTGTGCAGGATGTGGACCCCTGTGCATGCTGACAGGATGTGGGCATGTGCATGATGTACCAATTGCTCGCAGGGTCTATGCTGGTTGTGGGGGTTAGGGGGTGTGGCTCATCTTGGGAAAGGGGCAAGGGCTGGGGCCTGATGGGTGGCCCTGGCCACTCCTGGCTGAGAGACTTGGTCCCTCCCTAAGACATCTGTGCCTCTGGCTGGTGCCTCCCCTGACGGGCCCCTTGTCCATCTCAGTTTAAGTCTCTGGGAGTCCCTGGCAAGATCTTGGTTTAGCCCTGCCCTTAATTCCCCTAGGACCTGAATCCCCAGACAGAGGAAAGCCAGGACACCGTGTCTTTCCTGAAACTGGTTCGGCCTCGCAGAAGTGGTAAACGGCCCTTTATCCCAACCTCAGGAATAATAATAGTGGCTAGTCTGTGATGGCTTCTGGACTCATGACTGCTTTTGTTCATCATAACAGCAGGCAGAGTAAAACCCATTAACCTCCCTTAGGGAGACAGAAACTTAAGCACAGAGTAAACGGGGCTCGGAGTCATGGAGCTAAATAGTCGAGACTCAAACCTAGAATTCTGACCTTCCCTCTGAAGCTCCTTCCATTCACGGACCTGCTTCTCACTTCAGACCCAACCCCAAATATGAAGGAGGGATGGCCAGGAGTTAGGAGAACCCCTGGGATCTTGATGAAGACCAGGTAAGGGAGTCAGAGGTCTGGATCCCAGTAAGCAAAGAGACTTATGACTGGGGTGACCATGTATCCAGGTTTGCCAGGAACTGTCCTGGTTTCCACCTGTTAGCACAGTGTGATGACTAATAGCGCCCCTCTTGCTCTCAAAGTCATCCCAGTTTGGATGATAAATTATACGTTGCTTTACTTGTGGAGAAAGATAAGGCCTGAGGGTCTGAGGTCAAGAGTCTGGACAAGGATTAGGATGCCAGGGTTCTGAGGAGAACGGGGCTGAGGGAGTAGCTCCCGGCCTCCTAGACGTGGGGGTGCTTTGCCCATCTGTCTTTCCTTGATTCTCAGCACCTAAAGGCCGGAAACCACGGGCTCGCAGAGCGATTGCAGCCCACTTTGAAGGTGGGTGATGGCGAGCGGTGCCCCAGGGGTAGGGGTAGCAGAGAGGCAGGGTCGGGCTCACCGTGCCTTTCCTGTGTCTTACAGTTCACCCACGGCCGGGACAGGATGGCGCACAGGCAGGTGAGACCCCATCCCCACCTCTGAGCTCCTCCCTGACCCCCACAGCACTGGCCTTCTGGAAAAGGGGCCCCTCAAAATCTTCACTCCCCAACCCCACCTCAAGCCTTGGAACCCCAGAAGCCAGTTCGGGAAAGTGCTCAGGGCTCGGTTCCCTGGGCTCCCAAACCTGAACTTTGTCTATGACCCAGACCCCAGGGCCCCAGGGAGACCCCTTCCCCTCTCAGACCCCAGGCAGATTCCCCCTCCAACCACCACCCAGCTCCTCCCTCAGCCCTCACTCGTCTCCAAGAATTACCTTTGACTTTTCTCTTCTTCCCCCTTCATATTCCAAGTCTTCATGCTCTGATCATTTTTCTCAGATGTTTCCAGTCTCTGCACATCTGTTCCATCCCTACCTCACCCCCTGCCACCTCAGCATCATGACCTTGGAACCTCAAACCCAGTCTGTAGCCCCTCCCCCATTCCAGACTTACCCCATCCCCTCCTCTGTCCCACTTGTGTTGCTGGACTCAGCCCTGCTAAACCACCTTTCACTGTCCTTTGCTTCTCTGCTTGGATTCCAGCCTCTCCATGGTCTGATCTCCACCTCTTTTCCCTGCACACACTTAAGCCTTCTCCACTCTTGTTAGGCTGACCCCCCCCCCACCAATGTGCCTCTTCTGGACTTTGCACATACTGTTCCTTTACCTGGAATGCCCTTCCATGGGACAAGCCAGGAGCCAAGACACGAAGGTGGCTTAGCCTGGGGGCTGGCAGTGGAGATGGAGAGAAGTGGATGGATTCAGCAGGTAGCTTGAAGATAGGGCTTCCTGTGTGAGGGGTCAGATGTGCAGGGTAAGGGAAAGGGAGAAATCAGAAATGACTTCTAGATTTTTAACTCGGGCATCTTTGGGAATAATGTTGCCCTTTATTAGGATGGGGTTAACCAGGGAGGAAATAGGTTGAGAGGCGTGTAAATGGATAATTGAATTTGAGGTTGAGTAATAAATAAGTGAAGAGATAATAATAAACAAGTGAGTTTCACAAATAGATGGCGGCACATGGCGGACTAGCTCAGGCTGGGTCAGGATGTTCAGAGTCAGGAGTCATCACCATATGGATGGTATTTAAAGCTATGGGACTGGATGAGTCACCCAGGGGGAAAGAGGGGCCCCATGAGCAAAGCCCTGAGGCTCTTGGACATTTACAAGTGCAGCAGAGGAGGAGAACCCAGCAGAGACTGAGAAGCAGCCAGAGAGAGGGAAGAAACTCAGGGAGGGAAGTGTCCTGGAATCTCAGAGAAGACACAGTTTCAAGAAGGAGGATGTGGCTGTCTGTGCTGAGTACAACTGAGAGGTCACATGAGATGAGAACAGAGTAAAGACCACTGGGTTTGGTAACGTGAAAAGTCAACTGGTGACCTTGACAAGGGCGTAGTCAGTGGTGTGGTTGGGATGAGAAGCCAGAATAGATTGGATTAAGAGAAAATGGGAAATAGAAATTGGAGACCGTGACAACCCTTTCTAGAAGTTTCTCTGGGACAGGAGCTGAACAATGGGCTAGGAGGTGGAGGAGGATGTGAGTCAAGGAAAAGTTCAGTCCTTTTAGGGATAAGCAATACATGAATACATAAATCTTGTCTGATATTTATTGAGTGTTTCATCTCATCTAATCCCCCCAACAGTCTTAAAGGGAAGATATTCTGATCATCTCCACTTTTCTAGATAGAGGTTACTTAACATGTCTGAGGTCATGATGACACTAAGAGGTGGAGCCGGGATTTGAACCCAGTGAGTGAGTGCTTTTGTCCTGGGCATCGTTTGTGTGAGAGGCAGGGGATGGAGGACCCTGCAGGCAACGTCCAAGAAGGTGGGAGGGGGTGGCTTCCAGAAGGAAGAGAGGGATACATCATCCCATCACCATGAGAGTCAATGGGTCAGTGGGGAACGCAAGAACCGGTCGGTTTGTGATTTTGGTTTGGGGACATGAAGGAGCCTTTACCTGCTAACTTCTAGGTCTTCTGCAGAAGGAAGGAGACAGGGGCAGGGGCTCTGAGGAAAGATGGTACCAAGCCTTATCTTGGTGAATGCAAAAGCAAGCTTAGTGGGGGAAAGAAGGACGATTGCCAGGCAGTAAGGAATGCATTGTGGTTGTGAGACTGAGTGACACCAGGGTCCCAGGCACACCAGGCCCTTGGCCACAACCAGCCTTTGCTCAAGCTGGTTCCCTGGCCAGGAATGCCCTCCTTCCTTCTCTCCCAGGCCAGCCTTCCTCCTCTCTGTTGGACCATTTGTCTCGCGGTTACCCAGACATCCATCCATCCATTCATTCATTCATTCATTGACTCAACACTCATGCACTGAGATCCTACTGTTTATAAGGACCCTGCAAGGTGCCCACGGTGAATAATACCTATTCTCAAGGAATTACTGTCTAATAGTGGAGACAAGCAGAAACACTTGTAAATTACAATAGGCTATGACAAGAACAATAATGAAAGTAAAGCCAGAGGTGCGTGGTGACATAGAGGAAGACAAACCACTTTACAATGGAGTCAGGGGCTCCTTCCCTGAGAACTGTGGGTCTTGAAGCATAAGTGTAAGATGGACAGGTGGTCAAGGACATTCCAGGTAGAAGGAACAATTCATGTAAAAGCCCAGAGTCTGCCAAGAGCATCATGAGGCTGGGGCCTCAGTGTGGGGAGGAGCAGCCCTGGAGGAGCAGGATGGGGTGAGGCCGGAGAAGAATAAGGAGCCAGGTCACAGATGGAGTCTGGAAGTTATTCTGAGGTCCAAGGCTCACACCTGCCTTTTAGAAACATCACTGTGTGGCTATGTGTAGTCACACAGGGAATAAACTGGAAAAGGCAAGGTTGAGTCCAGAGGAGCCCAGAGAGGAAGGAGGCTATGAAGAGTTCCCAGGAAGAAATGGCAAGAGCCAGGCTGGGGAGGGAGATGTAACAGAGCTCTGTGGGTGCAGAATTGCTAGGAACTGGTGATCAGTGAATAAAGCTGGTGAAGGAGAGGGAGGCTTGGGTGCCAGGTGAGAGGTGGAACCAGCTCAGTGTGGAATGCAGACCGTCAGACAAGTTTGGGGAGGGGGAGGTTAAGCTCAGTTTTGGTCTGGATGAGTTGGAGATGCCTGGGGCTGTTCTGATGGCTGATGGCCGGCAGTTAGCAGTGTCAGGAGGGGCAGGAAAGGGCAGGGCTGGAGACTCAGACTGGAGTCTGCAGAATGAAGGCCAAGGGAACCCATAGGTGGGGATGAAAATGCCCAGTGAGCTATGTGTTTTCCTTGAGAAAGTAGCAAGGACAGCGCCCCGGGGCTGGCAGAGGATGGGGTCTGGGGGAGGCAGCTGCCCAGGCTGTTGAGATGAAGCCAGGGAGGCCCTGGAGAGTGGCCTGTGGACCCAACAGAGAGCTGGCACCATGGTCGCCTCCTCCCTGTCTCTTCCCACTGGTTTTTGCTTGGTGCCCACCGGAGCAGGCCCAGCTCCAGGGGCCGGGGGCCAGTGGTGAACAAGACCAATGTCCCTGCCCTCTTGGGAGAGTCAGACCCCAAGCCATCACATCCATAAATAAACGAGCCAACTTCCCTTGGTGACGCTGGAGAGAAATAAGGTGATGTGGTGGAGAGATTAACAGAGGCGGGGCTGGGACTAGCTTTTTCCGGGGAGGCCTGGGATGGTCTCTCAGAGGGACCTGACTGACAGAAGGGGCCAGGCAGGGGAGGAATCCTGGCGAGAGGGCAGAGCAGTAAAGGCCCTGGGGGAACAATGAGCTTGAGGCCCTGCAGGGGCCCAGTGGCTGGAGTCTCCTGACTTGGAAGAATGTGTGAGGTGAGATAGAGAGGTAAACGGGGTGGCCTGTGGAAGGCCTGGGAAGCCACTTGAGACTCTGCTCTGTCATTCTACTATCTTCTTTACAATTTGCAATTATCCTCTCTCTAGATTTTGGTGTGTGTGTAGTGGGTGGTGGTGGTAATGGCTTTGTTGAGACGTAATTCACAAACTATATTAGTTCTTCCCATTTAAAGTGTTCAATTAAGTAGTTTTGAGTATATTCACAGAGTAGTGAGACATCATTACAGTAATTTGAGAGCATTTTCATCACTTCAAAAAGAAACCCCATCACCTTCACCCATGACCCCGTATCTCCCTGATCCCCCCCAGCCCTAAGCAATTACTAATCCACCTTCTGTCTCTACGTATTTGGTTATTTGGACCTTTCATAGAAATCATATAATAGGTGGTCCTTAGTGACTGGCTTCGTTCATTTAACATGTTTTCAAGGTTCCAACATGTCGTAACATGTACCAGTATTCCATTTCTTTTTATGGCTGAATAATATTCCATTGTATGGATTTAACACAAGTTTCCTTATTCATTCATCAATGGATGGATATTTGAGAACCATTTGATTATTTTTAGTTTTAATAATCCAAGTAATGCATCTCCAAGTGAAAGAGCAAACAATAGAGACACAAACTGTAAAAGCCCCCACACTTCTTCCATCCTACTCGTCTCCCCAGAAGTGGCTGGTAACAGCTTGCTCTGTATCCTTCTGGTCATATATGTGGAATTTATTTGCATAACTTCCTGTTACACTAGGGCTCCCTGGGCTGTGGCTCCTCCCTTGCCCTCGGTCATCTAGATATCTTCTGGGTAAAGTGGGCCCAAAGATTTATAAACTCAGTGGGTCCCAGGTGAGAAATGGTGAGAAAGTTCTGTAAAGGGACTGTCCCCTGTCTCTGAACATCCATATTCAGGTGTGGACGGGACGGTGAGTGGCTGGGAGGAGGCCAAAATCAACAGCTCCAACCCACTGCGCTATGATCGCCAAAGCGGGGAGTTTATAGTCACCCGGGCTGGGCTCTACTACCTGTATTGTCAGGTAAGCCGCACCTGGCTCTGCAGGCCAAGCAGGAACTGAGGGAGAAGCGCTGGCTTAGGGGGTGGGGGCACGTTAACGGTGGGGGGCAGGAGCTAGAGGTTTGGGCTGGATAGGAGACCTGGGTCCCCAAGGAAATGGGAGATTGAGCCGAGGGCCAGCAGAGGCCTGGACTCTGCCACCCTCCCCCACCCCTAGGTGCACTTTGATGAGGGAAAGGCTGTCTACCTGAAGCTGGACTTGCTGGTGGATGACACGCTTGCCCTGCGCTGCCTGGAGGAGTTCTCGGCCACGGCAGCGAGCTCCCTCGGGCCCCAGCTCCGTCTCTGCCAGGTGTCTGGGCTGTTGCCCCTGCGGCCAGGGTCATCCCTGCGGATCCGCACCCTCCCCTGGGCCCATCTCAAGGCCGCCCCCTTCCTCACCTACTTTGGACTCTTCCAAGTTCACTGAGGGGCCCTGGTCTCTTGGTGGCTTGCCCAGGCTGCCGGCTCCCTACAGCAGCTCTCTGAGCACACACACACCCTCCCCCCTCCCCTCTGTCCCACCCTAAGCTGCTCCTCCCCCAGACCTGCCTCTCCTGCGGGGCTCTCACTTGATGCCCGTGCCACACAAATACTCCCATCCAGCTCTGACCACACCCCCACCTCTGGCTCCCCACCTCACCAGCCCCCAAACCCCTGATCTTTCCCTGCCCCCATTTGTCTTCTGACTCCCCACCCTGGCCGCAGCCCCCCAGGACACTGTGTTTACTGTACTCTGGGTGACGATGGATCCTGAATACCCCTCTTCGGGCACTGAGAGGGGCTGGATGCCAGAGAGACTGGGACTAGGCCAGGAGTTCCCAAATGTGAGGGGTAAGAGACCAAGGCAGGCTCCTCCCTTGATAATTCCCTGTGGATTTTTAAAAGATATTATTTTTATTATTATTGTGACAAAATGTTGATAAGTGGATATTAAAGAGAATAAATCATGGCCACTCTCTTTATTGGGGCTTAGGGGACATCCTCAGGATAGCTGGGGGCTATGGGAAGGGGATCGGGGCATTGGGGATTGGGGTGCAGGACTCCTGGAACTCCAGGGCGACGTCTAGGCTCGACAGTGGGGACCTACCTGCCTCCAGCCCCGAAGCACGAGCAGAGTCAAAAGGCAAACTGCCAGGAAAAAAAATCAGTCCTCTGCCCAAGGTCCAGCAGAGGCAGCCTCATTTACCTAGGAGGCGGGCCTCATCCCACGGGGAATCCCTGGCTGGGAGGAGCAGGGGCCCTTCCTCTTGGCAGCCTCGGACATTCAGCAGGTGCTGGTACAAGCCCTGGCTGGGATGTGGGGTGGGAGCAGGCCGGGAGCGGGGCCCAGGGTCAGCAAGCAGGAAGCCAGGGCCCAGGAAGCCGGGAACCTGGGCCCCTGGGTTCAGGGGAGGAATCCTACAGCAGCAGGGTGCTCGGGGATCTTTCTCTCTTTGTCCAGAGCCTTATGTAAGAGCTCTTCTCGGGAAACAGGAAGTCTCGCTTGCCAAGTTCAGCACAGGGAGTAGTGCAGGCCTTATTCCAACACACCCGGCCTGGCCTTAACCCCAGAACTCAGCCAGTTTCTTGCTTCCTTGACCCTGGTTCTCCTCCCCACCGACCCCCTCCCCTCCTTTCCCACCTTTGGTCACTCCGAGCCAACTTCCCCAGAGAGCTTGCCTGTGCCTGAGCCAGAGGGTCTTCCACTCTCACCCCCTGACCCTCAACACTGTCCAGCTTGTCCCTCCATCCTGGCTCCTGGCACGATGCCCCAGAGCCAGCCAACCTTCCCTCCCCCACTCCTGGGGCCGCCCCGGGGTTCCTGCGCTCTGGCCGCTCCTCCTGGGTGTCACTGGCAGCCCCGTCCTTCCTAGAGAGACTGATAGCAAATTCTCCTGAGGCTGGAGGACGGTGACGGGTCTCAGGACGTCACTGGCCCCACAGCGGAGTGCCAGGAACACCAACAGTGCCCTGAGCTTGCTTTCCGCCTCCCTCCTTTTTATTCTCAAGTTCCTTTTTACTTCTCCCTTGCGTAACGCCCTTCTTCCCTTCTGCACCAGCCTGCACCCCCACCCTCCCGGTCACCTCCTTGCCACCCCACTCCTCAGGCCACAGCTGTTGGCAGGGTCCTCAGCTCATGCCAGCCTCATCTCCTTCCTCGCTAGCCCCCAAAGGGCCCCCAGGAGACATGGGGTGCCAGGTCCGAGAGCCGGCAGTCTCAGTTGCCCTCTGGTTGAGTTGGGGGGCGGCTCTGGGGGCTGTGGCTTGTGCCATGGTTCTGCTGACCCAACAAACAGAGCTACAAACCCTAAGGAGAGAGGTGACCCGGCTGCAGAGGACCGGAGGGCCTTCCGAGGAGAGGGAAGGGTATCCATGGCTGAGACTCCGGGAGCAGGTGAGTGAGGGGAGAATGGCGTCTGGGAGAGAAGGATGGGTGCCAGGGCGGTCTCCAGGCCTCTTGGTTCCAGCTGCCTGGTTTGCAGAGTTTTGAATGGGTGCAAGAGAGGGTCCCGGGTTTGGAGGTCAAGGGAGCAACCATTCCAGGAAAGGAAATTGTTAAAGATTAATGCTTCTCGTACCTAACAGATCCTGGAGGACAGCCAGCACCAAGACTCAGGTTGCTGGGAAAAGGTGCAGGAGAGATGTGAGGCATTTCTGGGGCAGAGGGAGGGCTGGGATAAAGGCTGTCTGTGACCCTTGCATTTGAGCCTAACCCTGACCCTCTTTCCACAAGCAGAGCCCTGATGGCCTGGAAGCCCGGGAGAATGGGGAGAGATTCCGGAGAAGGAGAGCAGTGCTCACCCGTAAACAGAAGAGTGAGGCCTCCGGGGTGCAGCAGGGGTGGGAGGTGATCAAGCAGCCTGGGATGTGGAGACCCCGACCCTGAGTCAGGGCTGAGGGTGGGGGGCTGACAACAGGGCAACGGGGGTAGGTGGGCACTGCTAAGATTTCTTCCTTCTCTCCTCAGAGAGGCACTCAGTTCTGCATCTTGTTCCCATTAACATCACCTCCAAGGGTGAGCATTATTTTAAATCATGGCTTTTGGGGGAGGAGCAAGATCTAGGAATTGTGGGGCCGGCACCTGGGCCCGAGGGAATCTTAGAGGTGAAAGTGTCCCAGAAATCCTCATCCCACACTCCTCACCTCCAGAGGACTCTGATGTGACAAAGGTGATGTGGCAGCCAGCTCTCACGCGTGGGAGAGGCCTGGAGGCCCAAGGATATGTTGTTCGAGTCTGGGATGCTGGAGTTTATCTGCTGTACAGCCAGGTAACCCCAAACACCCCTGAGCCTCACCTGAGGGCCTGGAGGCCTGTTCTCCCAAAGCCTTATGTCCCCGGACTGAGGGTTTCCAACCGCTACTCATACCAGATTTAGAGGGCTCCTTCATTCCTTGGCTCCTAGAACTGAGCCAGGCCATCCGTTTTCTTCAGCATCTCCTCCCTTCCCTTCCAGGTCCTGTTTCACGATGTGACTTTCACCATGGGTCAGGTGGTATCTCGGGAGGGCCAGGGAAGGCAGGAGACTCTATTCCGATGTATACGAAGTATGCCCTCCAACCCCGACTGGGCCTACAATAGCTGCTACAGCGCAGGTGAGAGATGTGTGCGCAGTGGACTGTGGATGTGAGGAGAGCGGGAGAGCTCTGGCCTGGGGGCAGTGCCTGGGGAGCTGTACCAGGGGTTGGAAGGCTGGGTGTAGAGGCAGATCTGAGGAATGAAGGACAGAATACCTTTTTCCTTACAGGAAGCATCACAAAGGCTAAACTGAGGGGGGGGGTATAGCTCAGTGGTAGAGTGCATGCTTAGCATGCACAAAGTCCCGAGTTCAATCCCCAGTACCTCCGTTAAATAAATAAATAAATGAGCCTAATTACCTCCCCACCCCAC